CCAGCCCTGCAGCCCGGGAATGAATCCCACTTGATCATGGTGAATAAGTCTTTTTATATGCTTTTGGATTCGATTTGCTAGTATCTTGTTGAGAATTTTTGCATCCATATTCATCAGGAATATTGGCCTGTAGTTCTCTTTTTTTTGCTGGGTCTCTGTCTGGTTTGAGAATCAAAGTAATGCTGGCTTCATAGAATGAGTCTGGAAGTTTTCCTTCCCTTTCTATTTTTTGGAACAGCTTGAGAAGGATAGGTATTATCTCTGCTTTAAATGTCTGGTAGAATTCCCCAGGGAAGCTATCTGGTCCTGGACTCTTACTTGTTGGGAGATTTTTGATAACTGATTCAGTTTCTTCACTATTTATGGGTCTGTTCAAATTTTCTATTTCTTCTCATTTGAGTTTTGGTAGTGTGTGGGTGTTTAGGAATTTGTCCATATCTTCCAGGTTGTCCATTTTGTTGGCATATTATTTTCATAGTATTCCTTGATAATTGCTTGTATTTCTGAGGGATTGGTTGTAATAATTCCATTTTCATTCGTGATTTTATCTGTTTGGGTCTTCTCTCTTTTCATTTTGAGAAACCTGGCTAGAGGTTTATCAATTTTATTTATTTTTTCAAAAAAAACAACTCTTGGTTTCATTGATCTGCTCTACAGTTTTTTTAGATTCTATATTGTTTATTTCTGCTCTGATCTTTCCCTTCCTCTGCTGGGTTTGGGTGTCTTTGCTGTTCTGCTTCTAGTTCCTTTAGGTGTGCTGTTAGATTTTGTATTTGGGATTTTTCTTGTTTCTTGAGATAGGCCTGGATTGCAATGTATTTTCCTCTTAGGACAGCCTTTGCTGCATCCCAAAGTGTTTGAATTGTTGTATTTTCGTTTTCATTTGTTTCTATATATTTTTAAATTTCTTCTCTAATTGCCTGGTTGACCCATTCATTCTTTAGTAGGATGTTCTTTAACCTCCATGCTTTTGGAGGTTTACCAGACTTTTTCCTGGGGTTGATTCCAAGTTTGATAGCATTGTGACCCGAAAATATGCATGGTGTGATCTCAGTCCTTTTATATTTGTTGAGGGCTGTTTTGTGACCCAGTATGTGATCTATTTTGGAGAATGTTCCATGTGCACTAGAGAAGAAAGTATATTTTGTTGCTTTGGGATACAGAGTTCTAAATATATCTGTCAAGTCCATCTGGACTAATGTATCATTCACGGCCATTGTTTCTTTACTGATTCTCTGTCTAGATGATCTATCCATTGTTGTAAGTGGAGTATTAAAGTCCCCTGCAATTATCACATTGTTATCAATAAGTTTGCTTATGTTTACGATTAATTGTTTTATATATTTGGGTGCTTCTGAATTCAGTACATAAATTGTTACTCTCACTTTAGTGGGGCTTGGAGAGGAAGCAGAGATTTTTTTTTAAAGCCTATGTTCAGTCTCCCATGTCTAAGCACAAGGCCAATCAGAATGGCTGCCCTGTACTTCCACTTCCATTTCTTCACTTCCCATTCCGGCCTTAACACACCAAGCTCTGGTTTCTATGTCTCACACTCAGCTCAAACTACTTCGAAAGAGTCCCAGTGATCTTTGTTCATCTAGTTCATTGGGCTTTTTTCAGCCTTCATCCTCTGAAACTCTCTGCAGCATTAGACACATGGAGCAAAGGACCCCTCTCTCTGACTGGGAAGCAAACTTTTTTACTTGCTCCACATCTTCAGCTCCTTAAATGTAAATTCTCCTCAATGTTCTGACTTTGTTGGGCTTTTTTTCCACCATTCCGTGAATACCAAGCCCAACATGCCCCTCAAAGCAAGTTTGAGCTGGGAAAAAGGAGAAGGTTTCACCTGAAATGAAGATCAGAGTTTGAATGATTACACAGAACTGGACTTTGTACTGGCTGTTACATGACTGTTGCTGGGAGTAAAAATCTTAAATTTTTGTTTTTGGTCTAATTGAAGAATAATTGAAAAGTTATGACACTTGCCCAGATTTCTGTCCAAAGGTCAAGGAAAAATGAGACGTCAGAAAGGTTTTAATAAAGTTTACTGAAAAGCATATTAGGTAGAAAGACTTCCAGAGCTTATGCAAAATTTTTGCATGGTTTTAATTGATTGGTTTTTATTTGTTTTTATGACAGCATTTAAAGATTGTTCAATTTGTTTCTGCCCTCACTGGCTGTTACTGCAGCTGGAAAAACACTGAGAAAGAGAGGGGGACTTGTTGCTGGGGGCTGGTGAGACAGGGGCAAGACACTCATCCTCTAGACAGGCCAATTAGGGGACAGAAAGAGCAATGACTTTCCACAATGCCTTCCACAATTTTTGACCCAACTGATCTGTTCCCAGCTCTTAACAGATTTCCTCTGGATTCCTACAGGTCTAATTGGCCTCCTGCCTGTCTGATCTTATTTCTAAGATCTTCCCCAAAAGCAAATTTGCTTCCTTGCTTAAAGTGGCTCCCTCAGGACCTGCTCTCTTATCCTCCACCACCCTCTCATTCTATTCTCTAGCCTTGAACAAGCCTGGTGTTCTCTTTATTACAGTCCTACCTGAAGTGCCTGCCCACCACCCCCTCTGCCAGAGGACCAGTGCACAGCACCCTCAGACTACAGTCCAGAAAACAGGAATTTCTGTAAATGTTTTGGAGCCTCCTAGTCAGGACAGAACACTATACTAATGGCATCCCCAGCCAATATCTGTCAGAGCAATTGTCAGGTTTCCCTGTCTCTCTTTGGATTGGACAGAGAGTTTTATTCTTCTGGTCCTAGCCTTAGGCCATTCTCTGGCACAGAGTGGTGCTTGCTAACCCATTTATTGAGTTAACTAATAATCTGTCTTCCAAGCTTCAGACACACACCTATATCCCTTTTCCACAAAGTATGTCCTTTAGATGCTTCATACTCAACTGGTCCCAAACCAAATTCATAAACGCATCATTATACCTCCTTATTATCAGTCAGCTTCAAAACCTAGGACCCACCCTCAACCGCTACATGGAGTAAATTGTCCAATCTTGTTGCTTTGCTTGCTTGAGTGTCTTTCCAAACCATTCTCATACTCCACTCCTGCTACCTCTCTCTTACCAGTATCCTGACCAGTGACTACCTCATTTGAAGCACACAAAACCCCATATGTCCATTAGTTGGGCCTACTCATGATTCCCTAAGTACATTCTGCACTATCCCTCCTGTGTTTTGCTAGCACCAGCTCTCTGCTAGCAGCCGTCTTTGCTTACCTTGCTCAAATGCTACCACATCCACGAGGCCTTTTTAAATCCCCCCAGGAAAACTAACTCTCTTCCACTTTGGTTCTCCAAGAGTACTGTATTGTATTTGTACCACTGTTATATCAATTACCACAGTCTTCCTTGTACCCCAGTTATTATGTGTATTTCTGTCTTATTGCCTAGATATCAAGCCCTTGGAAGACAGAGTTCATGTATGTTCATCTTGGAGAAACTTTACACACAGTAGGGGTTTAACAAATGGTTTTGCATTTATTAATAAAATTAACCAATTTCATTTAAAATTCACCAGTTCATTCCACGAGACTATATTTAGCACCAATTTTGTTAGTTTTTAACATGACTTGTGAGATTCATTGATTTCTTCAAAGACAAAATTTTATGTTGGCTTTAGGATAATAATAGCTCCATTGATTGCATACCTGCCAACCATTATATGTATATAATCTCTAATCCTTGTAATAGCCTTGCAAAATAGAAGATAGTGTCCCTATTGTATAGATGCACATTCTGTGAGGGTCAGTAACTTACCCATGGGCATATAACTGTAAGTCCTCCAGCTAGGGCTAGAAGTCACCTTTGTGATTCTGTAAGCCACTATACCACATCACCCTCATCCATACTGTGGGATAGGGGAGTCTCTTTTGTTTCTTTCCTTCACTTAATCATCTTCAAAAAAGATTTTAGTTTGTTAGTGTTTGTTTTGTGTTTTACAGCTTCCTTCGACATCATACATACCTCAAAAGGATCTGCTAGACAACAAGTGCCTAATTGAAAAATACACACATCTCTCCTGCAAAAAAGTCTTCTGTCAACCATGGCAAAAATGCATCGATGGGACCTGTATCTGTAAACTCCCTTATCAGTGCCCAAAGAATGGTACCTCAGTGTGTTCAACTAATGGGAAAAGCTACCTAACTTACTGTCAGCAGAAGAGTTTTGAATGTCTTCAGCCAAGGGCAAAGTTTTTAAATAGTGGAACATGCATAGCTGAAGGTAGGAAAGCCCTAGTTGAGTCTGTGATATAAGAAAGAAATTGTTTACCATACTGTCTACTAGAAGATAATTTTGCTATGAAATGTTATGATGACAATTCAGAATTCCTCCCTAGACCCTTAATTGTAATGGGGGTGACAACTAAAGAAAATAGGGTCACCAGAATATAGCCAGCCTTTGAGTTCACAGCACAAGGCCCTGAAGCTGGTCCTTCCCCTCAGTGCCTGTGCCACTCTGCTGCCCAGCCCTTCAAAATTATCCCCACCCTCACTTCTACTTGGCTAACAGGACTATTCCCAGAGTCATTGAGTTGGTTCAGAACGCAGTGAAAAAGTCTTTATATAAGATTGATATTGATATGGAGCTGTGCCTGTGGACCTCCAGATCAAATAATTTCTTCTAGTGTCCCTCCCACCAGCCTCTACCCCTAAGGAGCCCCAAGCCCATTGGCCCTGATCTAAGGGGAGCTCAGGCTACTGCTGACCTAGGACATACTCTAGCAAACTTGGCACTTCAGATGAAAGAGCTTGTCTACACTCCATCCAGGCTTCTAATGCACTGAGGAGGCTGTGATGCTGATACGTAGATTGCTGGAGTGGTTAAGGTTAGGAATCTCACTGTCAGTTTTAGCTGCAAGCCCCTCTACCCCACCTCGGTTATTGACAAGCTATGTAACTGGTCAGACCCCATTTTCCACCTCAGTAAAATGTGAATAACACCAGTTCCTAACTCCTAAGACTTTCATGAAGATTAAATAAAATGATGTATGTAAAAGCTCTTCATACAGTGTTTGGCACACAAAAAGAGCTCATGAAATTTTAACTAGTAGAGCAAACCTCAGCCTTATCTTCTAATATCAATTATCACAGACACTTCATGAATTTATAGAAAAATACTCAAAACATTCCTTGTAAAGTCACCATGACATATGCCAGCACACAGTTGCCTAAATATCTGTGTGATGCTTGGCTAAGATATTGAGGCACTGTGGAGTAGGAGAAGAAAGCTCCCTATTTGACTCCATCTCTATTGCCTGTTGGGAAGGAGGGAAGCAATAATGGAGATTATTTTGTCAGTGGCAGACTTTTGTTCTCTTGAGGCATTAAATGCCTTAAATATATGAGATACCTAAATTTTTTTTTTTTACATTTCAATTATTTGTTTGTCTTACTTTTAAGAGCACAGACTTGGGAGTGAGATCAATATAGTTTCATCAGATTCCTGGCTTCCCCACTTGAGCAAGTAAGTTAACTTCATGTATAAAAGTGGAGGCATTTAGGTTCCTCATGTAAAAATATCATTGTAGTCTTCACAGGGTTGTTGTGAGGATTTCATAATAGTCTGTATAACTGGGTAGTATAGCCACTGATACATAATAGACCCTGGTAAAACAATTACAGACGATTATTTACTAAAATCTTCATGGTGTTCAAAGTTAATTTGAAATTACATTTTTTGTTTATTTTAAAGGCTTTTAATCAAGAGGAGAAAAGGTGAATGCCTAAATATTGCTCATTCTTTTGTGTGTGGGTGTGTGTGTGTTTTTAATTTTAGGACAATTTAGTGTTTCCTTAAAGTATGGAACTACCACTTCTGAGGGAATTGTTGAAGTAAAACTTGTAGACCAAGATAAGAAAATGTTCATATGTAAAAAAGCCTGGAGCATAGTGGAGGCTAATGTGGCCTGTCTTGAACTTGGATTTCAACAGTAAGTGCTTGTGCCAGTGGATTTTCCCAGGGTTGGTTTGGTCTTATTGTTCCAATTATTTGTTTTTTGATTACCCAATCTTTCTGTGCCTTAATTTCCTCATATGTGACCTGAGAGTATGAACTACCTGTCTCCCAGCATTGTTATGAGGATTAGATATGTTCATGTCTGACTAGCACTTAGAACACTGCTGAACACAGATCACCTGTAAGTTTGTTGGAAGTTTCTGGATACGAATCTTTTGCAGTTTCAGATAGCTATAAACATGTTCATTACTGTATATCTCTACTTGTCTATAATTATTCCCACTTTTTCATACCTAATATTGTTTATCTATGTCTTCTCTCTCTTTTTCTTGGTCAACCTTGAAGAGATTTGTCTATTTGATAGTGGTTTTTATTTGTATATCTTATACATAAATTGTCTCTTGTTACTTTACTCTCACTTCATTAACTTTTGTTGTTATCTTTGGCTCTCTCTCTTCTGTTCTCTATTGTATTTTCCTAATTCCTTGAGTTAAATGCTTAACTCCTAAATTTTCAATTTTTCTTATTTTCTAATATAAGCATTTAAGGTACAAATTTCTCTCTAGGTAATGCATCATCTGCATGCCATTAGCCTCAGTGGCATACAATAAAAGTGGTATTTTATTTATTGTTCAGTTTGAAATATTTTCAGGTTTTCAGTATAATTCTTCTTTGATTTAGAAGTTTCTTTTTTACTTTTGTAATGAATATATTTTTGCTTTTAGTTAACTTTTTGTTATAGATTTCCTATTTAATTGTATTGTAAGAGAATGGTTCCTATATGATAATTGTTTAAATATTTGTTAACACTTGCTTTGTGCTGAGTATATTTTAAATGTTTCAGGGGCACGGTTCTAGATAATAAGTATGTTATCCATTAAAATAAGCAAGCTCATAACTGCTTTGTTCAAATCTTTTCCTATTTACTTACTTGCAAGCTTTCTATGTCTTTATCTTTTAAATATGTCCCTTATAAACAGCACATATCTAGATTTTTTTTAAAAATCCAATATGACAATAACTGTCTGAATAGTTTAGTCCATTTACATTATTGTGATTATTTACATTGTTGAATTTATTTTCCCTTATTTTATAATTATTATTTAACCTGCTTTTTCTGTGTGCTTTCTTCCTTTTCTAACTTCTACTGGGTTAATAAAGTTGTTGTGTTTTTTCATTCTCCCCTCTCTTCCCCCTCTACTTGGTTTGTAAACTATACACATCCTATTTCTGTTGTTTTTGTGGTTATCTTCACATTTATACCACGAATCCTTAACTTAGGAATTCCTCACCCTCTTCAGGAATAATACAAAGAATTCATTATTTCTATCAAGGTTCCAGGATTTAGTTCCACATTATTTTTATATATTCCTGAAGTTAATTGTTATCATTATATAAGCAATTATAATACATACTGTCATTATATAATTATATATCATATATAATATATAAAATATATAAATATTTGCTTATATATAATTATTATATAATTTATATATTATATATGATATATACAATATATCATGTATATATGTATATATCATATATACTTCATATATATACACGTATATATACATATATATACGTGTATATATATATGATATATGATATTATATACACACATATACTGTGCTTATTCAGATGTACTTCATGTTTACCAACATCTTGGTTTGTTACTGCTTTTTGCATCTCTCAATATTATGCTAAATTCAGTTTCCTTCTTTCTAAACCATATCTGCTAGAAGTTCATTAGTGAGAGTATCTTATCATTAAATTGAGCCACAGAATATTTGTAATTTTTGACAGTTTGTGACCTACAACCTATAAGTCAACCTAATGGGAAACTCTCTCAGTCTTTGATCTCCCAGTATTTTTTTTTTTCAACGTTTATTTATTTTTAGGACAGAGAGAGACAGAGCATGAACGGGGGAGGGGCAGAGAGAGAGGGAGACACAGAATCAGAAACAGGCTCCAGGCTCTGAGCCATCAGCCCAGAGCCCGACGCGGGGCTCGAACTCACGGACCGCGAGATCGTGACCTGGCTGAAGTCAGACGCTTAACTGACTGCGCCACCCAGGCGCCCCGATCTCCCAGTATTTTGCTTTCATCATATTTTGTATAAGCTCATGGACAGACTTCTCTTATTTTAGCCAGTGGATATTTCCCTTACTTCTTTAAGAGCTCATTGAAGCCATTTATTATATTTTATCTAGTACTTTTGGATAGTTTTAGAATGAGAGATTTTTTTTCAAATTCTATACTTCTGAGATTGCCCCAATAGCTCTCATTTGTTCTCATATTTTGATGCTGCTTGACAGTTTTATGACTCTTGTATCGTCATTATGGATCTTAAATCATTAAAAATACCTCCCTGTTTCCTTTAAGCTTATTTATTTATTTTGAGAGAGAGAGAGAGAGAGAGAGAGAGAGAGAATGAGCAGGAGAGGGGCAGAGAGAGAGGGAGAGAGGGAATCCAAAGCAGGCTCTGCGCTATCAGCACAGAGCCTGATGCAGGGCTCAGACCCACAAACCATGAGATCATGACCTGATCTTAAATCAAGAGTCAGACGCTTAACTGACTGAGCCACCCAGTCACTCCCTGACTTTCATTCTAATTGATCTTATATTTATATTGCCCTTATTGCTTTATTATTGTTTATATTTACCCGATGCATCTTTGCTCAACTTTTTATTTATAACACCATTTTCCTCATTTCCTTCTAAAGAGAAGCAGGGAACAATTGAATGTTCTGGAAGAATAGTTTACTATAACTCATCACCTCTAGGATATTGAGTCATAGAGGTAGCCTCTTACCTGCACAAATTCTGAACAAATTAGAAAGTCCAAGCAATGGTATATAGATGCCAAAAATCACCTTAATACTGTCAAGGCTGAATTGAGGATATAGCTTAATGTAAAAACAAAATGAACCTGCTAGAATTGAACCATGTTAACCTCCCAAATTCTAAGCAATAATAGGGCTAACCAGGTAAGCCTTCTAGCATGAGGCAGGTGAAGAGGCCCCCAAAAGGAAAGATGGAAAACATGAGCTACTTGTCTGATTTATAATTCCAAAATTCTCTGATCAATTATCCTACTCCTTTTCCTTGAGCAAAAAGGAATTAAGAGATGAAGAGAGGCCAAGAATGATACATCTTAGGTTGGAAGGAAACATCAGGAGTGTGGAAGGATTCCTCCTTAACAAGAAACAGGAGGGGAAACTAATATTTGCTGAGTGCTTACCAGGTTTGAACTTTGGCTAGTCAGTTTAAATTGATTGTTTTAATTAATCTTTATAAAACTTGCTGAGATTGTCATATTCTCTTTTACAAGTGAAGATACTGAGCCTCAGAGAATTTAAGCATCTTGCTCAATGTATCTTATGTAGAAAATTAGAGGAAATTACTTTAGTTCCTTACCTCCTATAGTGAGGTTATAAGTGCAAAGTACAAATTATTCTACCTTAATGTTTCATTTATTCTATTTGCAGAGGTGCTTTGGAGGCTCAAAAAAGTTTTGAAGTTCCTGAAGATCTCCATATGAATTCTACCGAATGTCTGCATGTGCATTGTCGAGGATTAGAAACTAGTTTGGCTGAATGCACTTTTATTAAGAGAAGAACTAAAAATTACCAGGATTTAGCTGGTGTGGTATGTTACACACAGAATACAGGTTGGTAGAGTGCTTGCCTGAAACCTCAAAACTTCCTTTAGAATTGTTTATTCCATACCATGACTGTAGTAAACAGATGATGGATACTCAGTTGCAGCAATAGAGGCAAAATCATTTTGGAGGCTTTAGAGCCTAAATTGGTGCTTTTCCCGTGTACTCAAATACTCCTATATAGGAAGCAAAGTTGCCTGACTCCTCTTTGCTTCCTGAAACATCTGGATTAAAGTTAATATAACAAACCTAAGTAACTCAAATGTCAGAAGAAACCTCATCTTCTTTGAGAGGTCCAGCCTACACACTTCAAAATGCCTTTAAAATATTTAAGTGACCACATCTATGCCTCAGTCTCAAGGCAGTCACTGCCACTTTTCTCTTCCATCCTGACATTGGAATATTTTAGTATTATGTATGGTTTAAAGACTAAAGGCTTTTTTGGTGCTAAAAAAAAAAGAAAAGAAAAGAAAAAAAGGACTATCAAAGTGTAAATGGCACTGCCCAAGCAAGTCATGGGATGGAAGTGAGGATTCATGGAACAGCATTTAAAGAAATGGGTGAACACCAGGGGCGCCTGGGTGGCGCAGTCGGTTCAAGTCAGTCCGATTTAATGAAATAGGTTCACAATCTCATGACCGTGAGTTCAGTTCATTAGGGCTGCGTCAGCTCTGATGGGCTGTCAACCAGAGCCTGAGCCTGTTTCGATTCTGTGTCTCCTCTCTCTGCCCTTCCCTCACGGGACCATGCTCTGTCTTCTCTCTTGTCCCCAAAAAAAGTAATCAAAAAAGCAGAAAAAAAAAAACACGTTGAAAAAAAAAGAAATGGGTGAACACCAGTGCTTGCTGATGTTAGCGAGGGCTCTTGATCCCTGAGCCTCCTTCTCCAATGCCAGTGAGTACAGACCTCCACCATAAATACTGATTTTCAGAGATAATGAATGGGCCTCCATAAACCCACTCTGACATTTATTTTCTTTATTTACCATATATATATTATGTTGATGCTACCAATACATTAAATCCTTTTTTATTTGATGCCCGACTTTATCTTAAAGTCCCCATTATGCCAAGTGTGATAAAGATGTCACCTAGAACTCCATAAATAAATTTCACAAAGATCATTCCTAATTTACAGTTTCTTCAGCAAATGACTCCTTTCGTTGTGTGAATGGGAAATATATTCCTCAAAAGAAAACCTGTAATGGTGTCAATGACTGTGGAGACCAAAGTGATGAGCTGTGCTGTAAAGGTAGTAGGAGAAACTTTACTTTTGAATTTAAGATTCTATCCCACTCGACTTTAAGTAAGAAAAAATAAAAATAAAAACCTCTTCATTTATGTTTCATAGGATGCCGAGGCAAAAGTTTCCTTTGTAAATCCGGTGTTTGTATTCCAAATAAGTATAAGTGCAATGGTGAGCTGGACTGCATTACAGGAGAAGATGAAATTGGTTGTAAAGGTAATTGAAAGTTTTGTGGTTACACTTTTCCATTATTTGATCCAGGGATTCTGCAACTTCCTTTTAGGTATATTTTAATCTTAAGTGAGTATAGACGAGTGTTAGCAGTAAGGGTACTACTGAGAGTGGGCATGTGAAGAACTATGGAATGTTCTTCTCTCATGTTTTCATTTATTAAATATTTATTGGTTATTTCAGAACTTTTTATTAGAAAAGTTCCCACATAACAAAAATCGACAGATTATTAGAATGAACCAATATGTGCCTCAGCTTCAACAATTACCAGTATTTTGACAGTCTTGTTCAGCTTGAGTATTTTAAAGCACATTTGAGATATTATGTCACTTCACTATATGCATCTCTAATGATACACTTTACACGTACATAATATACTCTCATTAGTACACGTAAAAATAATAATATCCTAACACTGCTTAATAACAGCCCATGTTCATGTTTTCCCAACTGTCTCAAAAATGTCTTTTTAGAACAATGTGTTTGAATCAGGGTCCAAAAGAATCTAACATGTGTTTGATTATTAAATTTTTAAAGTCTCTTTTATTCTTTAAGAGTTAACTCACCTGGAAACACAACGATCCATTATCTATGGGACACAGCAAAAGCAGTCCTAGGAGGGATGTTTATACCAATACAGGCCTATCTCAAGAAAGAAGAAAAATCCCAAATAAACAATCTAACATTAAACCTAAAGAAACTAGAAAAGGAAGGAAAAAAAATCCCAAAGATAGTAAAAGGAAGGAAATATAAGGATTAGAGCAGAAATGAATGATATAGAGACTAAAGAAAAAAAAATAGAAAATGCCAATGAAACCAAGTGTTGTTTGTTTGAAAAGATAAACAAAATTGATAAATCTTCGGCCAGGGTCATTGAGAAAAAAAGAAAGAGGAGTCAAATAAATAAAATCAGAAATGAAAAAGGAGAAGTAACTGGCACCACAGAAATACAAAAGCTTTTATAAGAGGCTACTATGAAAATGATAGGCAACAAACTGGACAATTTAAAAGAAATTGATACATTCTTAGAAACATACAATGTTCCAAAACTGAATCAGGAAGAAATAGAAAATCTGGACAGACTGATTACTAGTAATGTAAAGAACTGGTAATCATAAAAAGTCCCAACAAACAAAGTTTTAGGACCAAATAGTTTCACAGGTTAATTCTACCAAACATTTAAAGAAGAGTTAATACCTATTCTCAAACTATTCCAAAAAATAGAAGAGGAAGGAAAACTTCCAAGTTTGTTCCATAAAGCCAGCACTACCCTGATACCAAAACCAGACAGACACTACCAAAAAAAGGAAACTACACATCAATATCCCTAAAGAACATAGATGCAAAAATCCTCAACAAAATATTAATAAACCAAATTCAACAAAATATTAAAAGAATCATTCATGATCAAGTGAGATTTATTCCAAGGATGCAAGAATGATTCAATGTCCTCAAATCAATCAATGTGATGCATCACATTAACAAAACAAAGGATAAAAACATATAATCATCACAATAGATTCAAAATAAGAATTTGCCAAAATTCAATATCCATTCATGATAAAAACTCAACAAGGTGGGTTTAGAGGGAACATACCTCAACATAATAAAGGCCATATATGACAAACCCACGACTAACATCATACTCAATGGTGAAAAGCTGAAAGCTTTTCCTCTAAGATCAGGAATAAGACAAAGATGTCCACTCTTGACACTTCTGTTCAGCATAGTACTTAAGTCCTAGCCCTAACCATCAGACAAGGAAGGAACAAAGGGAGGGAGGGAGGGAGGGAGGGAGGGAGGGAGGGAGGGAAGGCATCCTAATTTGTATGGAAAAAACAAAACTGTCAAACTTTGCAAATGACATGATACTTTACATAGGAAACCCTAAAGACTACCAAAAACCTATTAGAGCTAATAAATGAATTCACTAAAATTGCAGAATACAGAGTTAACATTCAGATATCAGTTGTGTTTCTATATACTAATAATAAACTACCAGAAAAAGAAATTAAGATAATAATCCCACTTACAATTACACCAAGAAGAATAAAATACCTAGAAGTATTTATTTTATTAACCAAGGAGGTGAAAGATTTATACTCTGAAAACGATATGACATTGATGAAAGAAAATGGAAGTGACACAAATAAATGGAAAGATCTACCATATTTGTGGACTGGAAGAATAAATATTGTTAAACTGTCCATACCCAAAGCAATCTACAGATTTAATGCAACCCCTATCTAAATATCAATAGTATTTTTCACAGAACTAGAGCAAAGAATCCTAAAATTTTTATGGAACCACAAAAGACCCTGAACAACCAAGCAATCTTGAAAAGAACAAAGTTGGAGGTATCACAATCCTAGATTTCAAGATATACTACAAGCCTATAGTAATCAAAACAGTATGGTACTGGCACAAAAAGACACATAGATCAATAATAGAACAGGATACAAAGCCCAGAAATAAATTGATGCTTACATGGTAAATTAATCTACAACAAAGGCGGCAAGAATATACAATCTGGAAAAGACAGTCTCTTCAATAAATGGTGTTGGGAAAGCTGGCCATGTACATTTAAAAAAATGAAATTGGGCCACTTTCTTACACCATACATAAAAATAAACTCAAAATAGACTAGAGAATTAAAAACCTAAAGGTGAGACCTGAAACCAGAAGACTACTAAAAGAGAACATAGGCAGTAATCTCTTAGACGTCAGCCTTAGCAACATTTTTCCAGATTTGTCTCCTCAGGCAAGGGAAATAAAAGCAAAAATAAACTACTGGGACTACAACAAAATAAACCATCAGCAAAACAAAAAGACAACCTACCAAATGGGAGAAGATATTTGTGAATAATATATCTGATAAGGGGTTAATATCCAAAATATAAAAACTTATACAACTCAATGCACAAAAAAACAAATTATTTGATTAAAAAATAGGTAGAGGACCTGAATAGACATTTGTCCAAAGAAGACCTATAGATGGCCAACAGACACATCCCTAATCAGCAGGGAAATACAAATTAAAACCACAATGAGGTATCATCACCTCACATCAGTCAGCATACCTAGTATCAAAAAGACAAGCATTAACAAGTATTAGTGCAGAAGTGGAGAAAGGGAACCCTTGTGCACTATTGGTGGGAATGTAAATTGCTGCAGCCATTATGGAAAACATGGAGGTTTCTCAAAAAAAATTACACACACACACACACAAGCACACACCACTACCCTATGATCCATCAATTCCACTGCTGAGTATTTACCCAAAGGAAACAAAAACAATTCAAAAAAGATGTATGCATCTCTATATTTATTGCAGCATTATTTACAATAGCCAAGATATGGAAGCAACCTAAGTGTCCATTGACAGATGAATGGATAAAGAAGATGTGATACACACACACACACACACACACACACACACACACACACACACACCAGAATATTACTTGAGTCCTAAAAAAGAATGACTTCTTACCATTTGCAACATTCATAAACCTAGAGAGAATTATGCTAAGTGAAATGAGTCAGAGAAAGATAGATACCATATGATTTCACTTATATGTGGAATCTAAAAAACAAACCAAAGAACTAACAAAAACAGAAGCAGATACATAAATACAGAGAAAAACTGGTGGTTTCCAGACTGCAGAGGTGGGGAGGATGGATGAAGTAGGTGAAGGAGATTAAGAAGTACAAACTTCCAGGGGCACTTGGGTGCTCCGTTGGTTAAGCAACCAGCTCTTGATTTCAGCTCAGGTCATGATCTCATGGTTCTTGAGATCAAGCACAGTGCCTGTTTGGGATTCTCTCTCTCTCTGCCCTTCTCCTGCACTCTCTCAAAATAAATAAGCTTTAAAAAAAAGTATAAACTTCCAGTTACAAATAAGTCATGGGCTGAAAAGTATAGCATAGAGAATACAGTGCATAATACTGTAATATTGTATGATGACAGATAGTAATCACATTTATTGTGGTCAGCATTGTATAATGTATAGAATAGTTGAATCACTTGGTCATACACCTGAAACTAATATAACACTATGTCAACTATACTTCAATTAAAAAAAAAGTTACCTACCCATCCACCACCAATTTTTCTCATGCCAATGATTTTTTAGAGACACTTGGTCATTTGCCTACAAGATGTTCCTTATTCTGGATTTTTAGAGACTTCATTAGATACAAAGTTCAATATTTTAGGTAAGAATTCTTGATGGGTGGTGCTATGTCCTTTTTATTACATATAAAGTTATGTTGTCTGGGTATCCCACAACTAGTGACACTAAGATTGATCACTGGACCAGCTTGATATTTCCTTTACAAAATTCCCCCACAACCTTTCATCTTAATGGTCTTTAGTAGCCTGTGTGATTGTTGACTAGATTCCTTTGTCAATAGGAACTATAAAATGGTGATTTCTAATTCAGCATTCTTTCTGCATTTATTTACTAGTTTTCTATAGAGAAGAATTTTCCTTCATCAACTATTTTGTTTCCATGAAATGCAATTCATAATAAAAAGGAAGAATAGTGTTTAATTCTTTCCCTTTATTTACCAAGTTTCAAAGCAATGAGTTAATGCTCTTTGTTTTTTTGGTGCTCGTTGGAAAACCTCTGATGGTAAAAAATATTTGCTAGGTACCTACTCTGTGTCACACAGACTGACTTCTTGCTTACATCAATGCTTTCTGGAGGAAAAGTTTATGGAAGTTATTATACTCATTCATTTACTCAGTGAATATTTATTAAGTTCTTACTAAACAGTGCCATACCCTGCTTTAGGTACTGGGGTTGCAGTAATGAGTAACATGTCAGAAATCCCTGCCCCATCATTGATCTTACATTCTAGTGGTGGAAGAGAGACAATAAACAAGAGAAATATGTAAGATATGTAGGAAAATAATAAGTATAAGCAGAAAAATAAAGCGAGGAGGGAGGATATAAAATGTCAGGGGTAAGTTCTGAAATTTTAGATAAGGTAGTCTGGAGAGGCTCACTCACTGGGGTTACTTTTAGGTAAAGAGCTGGAGGAAAGGATGGAGCCAGCCATACAGATGTCTGTGGAAGAGTGTTCTAGGCAGAGGCACCAACCAGTGCAGTGTTCATAAGAGAGCAACTTTCCAGGATATTTGAGGAGCAAGCAGCAAGGAGGCTAATGGGGCATGTGTCACAGGTGCTGGTAGTGAGAGGTTAAAGAATAAATAGTTGGGGCACCTGGGTGGCTCAGTCAGTTAAGCATCTGACTTTGGCTGAGGTCATGATCTCAAGGTTTGAGTTCGATCCCCACATCGGGCTCTGTGCCGACGGCTTAGACCCTGGAGCCTGGTTTGGATTCTGTGTCTCCCTCTATCTCTCCGCTCCTCCCCCACTCACACTCTGTCTCTCTGTCTCTCTCTCTTAAAAATAAATAAACATTAAATTAAAAAAAAAAAGAGCAAATAGTTGGAGAGGTTGGACAGATGGTTGGGGTGGGTGGAGGGAGACAAGGGCAGATAGTCAAGCCTGGTAGTAAGGGAAATAGGGAATTTAAAGCAGAGGCACCACATGATTTGACTTACATTTAATTTTATTTTTTATAATTTTTTAATGTTATTTATTTTGAGAGAGACAGAGACAGAGCACAAGCAGGGAAGAGGCAAAGAGAGAGGGAGACACAGAATCTGAAGCAGCTTCCAGGCTCTGAGCTGTCAGCACAGAGCCCGACACAGGGTTTGAACTCATGAGCTGTGAGATCATGACCTGAGCCAAAGTTGGACACTCAACTGACTGAGCTACCTGGGCGCCCCTGACTTGCAGTTGAAATCAAGATTACTCTGGCTGCTGTGTGGCGACTAGGCTGTATAAGGGCAAGGGGAGAAGCAGGGAGGCCAGTTAGGAAGCCACGCAGTCATCCAGGGAAGAGATGATAGTGATAAGAATAAGTTGGTAGGGAGGGAAATGGTGAGAAGCAGTCACGTTCTGGATGTATTTTGAAGCTGGAGCCAGAAGGATTGACCAGTAGTTAGATGGAGGCATGAGAAGAAATGAGCAGTTAAGGGTGACTCCAGGGGTGTGGGCCCGAGAACTGGAAAAATGGAGCTGCTTTCAACAAAGATGGGGAAGACTGTGAGAGCAGTAGGCATGCTTGTATCTGCTTCGTTTATGAAATTTATCCAGTGGTGTGCTGGTAGATGCTGGTAAATTGGCTTTGGAGAGGGAGAGGAAATCCCTGATTTGTAGCTTTTGCTAATTCCTGTGGTGTGATTACTCCCACCATGGGTGATTTCAAGCCAAATTTATATGATGCCACAGAACACAAACTAGGAAGTGGTGACCTAGTCTCTGATGTGGTGATAGACCCCCATGTCAGGACACCACTGTTAACTGTTTATTGTAGTTTTTTGTACCTATCTTCCCTTCCCCTCCCTTGTCAACAGTAAACCCCTTGAAAACAGAATCTGTTTTTATATTCCAAATATGCCTTATAGGGGCGCCTGGGTGGCGCAGTCGGTTAAGCGTCCGACTTCAGCCAGATCACAATCTCGCGGTCCTTGAGTTCGAGCCCCGCGTCAGGCTCTGGGCTGATGGCTCGGAGCCTGGAGCCTGTTTCTGATTCTGTGTCTCCCTCTCTCTCTGCCCCTCCCTCGTTCATGCTCTGTCTCTCTCTGTCCCAAAAATAAATAAAAAACGTTGAAAAAAAAATTCAAATATGCCTTATAAATAAGCATTAAATAAATGTCGGAGATATGTATGGATACATGAATTAATAATAATTCTTTTTTGGCATTGCTTGGTATTATTTGAGTTTACTGAAGACTTATTTAATTCCCCATTGACATCAGTTCTTAAATGTAAAAACACATGGTTTTAGGATTTCAAATCATATTATTTCTTTTGATGCTTATATAAGCAGTTGAGCAATGTACTTTATGTTCATTAAATGTAGCTATAATCTTAGTAAAAAGAGAAAGAAATAAATTTTAAAACATTTTTCAGGGAGAACGGGCAGCCATTGACTCTTGCCAGTGAAGATGGACAGTTTTTCCCTCCCAGTTTTATTGAGATAGAATTAACATACAATGCTGTTTATGTTTAGGTGAACAGCATATTGATCTGACACATGTATCGGGACATGATGACCACAGTAAGTTTAGTTAACATCCATCTCATCATAGAGTTAACGATTCTTTTTTCTTTGTGATAAGAGATTTACTCATGAAACAACTTTCAAGTATACCGTACAGCAATGTTAACTATAGTCACCATGCTGTACATTACATCTCCAGCATGCACTTATCTGGAAGTTTGTACCTTTTGATCACCTTCACCTAATTCCCTACCTCACCCTCTGCCTCTAGTAACCACAGATCTGATCTCTTTTTCTATGAGTTTGTTTTGTTAGATTCCACATATGGGTGAGATCATGTATTTGTCTTTCTCTGAAGCTCTACAGTTCAATTTCACTTTTCAGTATAATACTACTTGGGGTTTCTTCTCCTTCTCCTCCTCTTCTGCCCCTTTTCCCTCCTCCTCCTCTTTCTTCTCCTGATTCAAAACTCTAAAGTTTAAGGTCATCCGTGCTCATGGATTGGAAGAACAAATATTGTCAAAATGTCAATACTACCCAAAGCTATCTACACATTCAATGCAATCCCAATCAAAATTGCACCAGCATTCTTCTCGAAACTAGAACAAGCAATCCTAAAATTCATATGGAAACACAAAAGGCCCTGAATAGCCAAAGTAATTTTGAAGAAGAAGACCAAAGCAGGAGGCATCACAATCCCAGACTTTAGCCTCTACTACAAAGCTGT